ACTTTCGACCTGGCATATTCCAACACGTTTTGGTAGCGTTTGATGGCACTCGGGAGATCAACTGGAGCATTGATAGCATCCCCTACGTTGACAACGAACTGTTTCTGAGCGTCGTAAGCAGTCCCCTTACCGATAATACTGGAACGCGTTTGCGTCTGCGCACCCAACAGCGCCCACACGTACGTTCGAATCGAGTCGTTCAACCTGATTACACCGGCACGAGTAAACCCTTTCGACGTGTCCAGCATGAACTTTTTCCAGCCATCCGCTGCCCCCTGCTCGAACCTCCAGACTCGGTAATCCTTACTGTTGTCGAAAGCCATGTAACGGTCATCCCACTCGTTCGTTGTGAGGTGATGATACGACTTGTATCCCCATTCTTTCAACTTCTCGCTGGCATCCACGAGGTGCATGTTGTGAACGATGGGGATACCCAACCCGTGGTTTGGTCCCGGCAAACGCCAATCCGTCTTCGTGTTTAGTTCGAATTCGTTGCAAATCCGTTCGTAGGCCCGCCTATCGTACTTGTTGTTTACTGCGTTCCATGCGTTGTCCTGTGGGACCGGAGCGCTGATTTCTTTAAGGATACGCCTGACCTGGTAGTACCGTGGAGCGTGAACACAGACTGACTCAGCGGTCCACGCCGAGTGTCGGTTAATGTCACACCACACCCCGTTGTAGCGCACCACACGGCGAAGTTGAGTTGATTCTGCCAGAACTGCATCGGGTTGTTGAACCAAGCATGAACTACCTTAGCGTTAGTCACCGAAAATTTATACAGGCTGAACACATCTAAAAGCTGGGCGTTGAAATACATCCCATCAGCGACCACGATCTTCATGTGGGGGAAATCTATATCCAGTTTAGGGTAAAACACTCCAGGGGAGTACATTTTAAAACTATTATATAATGAGCATATATACTCTAACATGTACATAACACTTCCAGGAATAACGAGCGGCGAGGCCGTTCAGCTGACGCACGCGATCGATAACACGTCGGGTCAACTCGAAGTCGCACTCTGCGATATCACCTACCTACCGCAATGGACTAACATCAACGCCAGCAACAATAAGCTGTTCGTCAGTGGAGCTCGCAGCCAGATAACTGACGGCTACTACAGCGTGTGCTCGCTAAGCGACGAGGTCTTCAAACCCCTGGGAGCCGAACTCAAGATGAACGACTCAAACGGTACAGTGGTGTTAATCAACAACGGAAGAAACTCCTTGAGACTCGGTCGACCATTGGCGAGGACACTCGGTATACCGCCTGACGAGATAAAACCAACAACAACCGTCACAGGTACGAAGTTACCCGACCTAGTACCGTACCGAGAGCTGTACATTCATCTCGGCCAGGTGAGCACAACGTACAACATTCAAGGGGGTCACCCTTCCACTATACTGAGAGCAGTGCCGGTGAAAACAGAGAAATACAACGACGGTAGAACTGAGTCGTTTTCACCGCGGCAGTATAAGAGGTTGACTCAGGGCAACATACCTGAGCTGATAATATCGGTGTTAGATATAAATCATAATCCCGTCAATATAGGATACCTCAGCTTAACGCTTCACATAAAATGACCAGCGCACAAGGGCCCGGGGTGAAAAAATGCGTCAATGTGGGGATCTCCGACCTCGGGGACACACGCGGATTTGACGGCTCGGAGTAGATGGTAAATTATGCGCCTTACAACTGAAAAACAACATTTACAAACGCGTTGAAGTCCCCTCCGGTGGAGCCCTAGGTGATATAGTAGATACCACAAGAGCGACAGTCAACACTCGGTACACCCTAGTCACCACCGGGGATGATAAATGGATAATATACCCATCGTTCGGGGGCAAACTGTTCGACTTAGACGATGTTGAGAGCACTACCGTCGCCCGAAACAAGCCATATACGCTCGTCTTCACCGAAGATGACAAGTGGGTGTTGTTACCAGATAAAGACGACTGGTTTCTCAATATTAGGCTCGGCTCCCCCTACGTGTTCACGGATAACAAAGACAACCACCTAAACAAAGTCGTTAACAACGGAACCCTGCTCGTGGCTTACGTCCCGACTCAGAAACGTAGCGTAGCCATCAGCCCAGTCGCCAGTATGGCAGCCCACATGCTATCGAGTAAACCGGGAATACAAAACGTGACATTGCAGTTGGTGTCTGAATTTGAAGGTGTGGTCAGGATACTGGAGAGTCTACCGGCGAACTCAACACTGATCATCAAAGTCTACCTAGGGGAACCATCGGGGAATGATGTCGAGATCGTGAAGGGGGGTCAAACTCGGGTGGGTGAAACGACACCAGTATCACGTTTGCACAGTTTACGTGCGGATGGGTGTCGGCTCCAACACCAGTCTGCAGGGTGTCACCGTGATCGTGGAAAACACGATATCACTAACCAAGATCTTCCTACCTGACAACATACACTTCATGGGGGTGAAGTTCACCCCTGAACTATTATCAGAAAACCAGTTGGAAACTATATCGTAGTAGTATTATAGCAATGACCAGTCATCGCCCCAACACTACGCTTAACGACCTAGGGGATACGGAGGGATTCCGATCAGCCTGGTGAGGAAGACACCTTATACATCCTGCACTTGAAAGACAATGTGTATAGGCGGGTGTCGTTATCAGATTTTAAAGAACCCAAATGGTTAGTCAACTTAACCCTCACCTCACCTTATATCACATTAAAGGAACAAAGTTACATCTCTGAAATTAAGAACAGCGGTATCTTGCCCGCGTGTTTCGTTCCGGGGCCTAATACAAGGATGATACTAAGCCCGGTTTTACCCAATAGGTTACAGTCATTCCACGGGGGTGAGTTAAGGTATGACTGCTACGGGCACATAGGGATTCCGTCTATGGTACCAGGCTCCACACTTATCATAGAAGTCTATCTCGATAGAGTTAATAGTAATAAGGAATTACAACAACTTTTACCTGGGGTCAGAGTACTCTGGTTTCCCCAGACCAATAGAACACGTTACCGTATCATCATACAACTGGACCCCTCAACGGGTTCCATAACCCACTCACTAACCCCCGACGAGGGGGCTATTGTGGCTGCAGAGTTACCTATTAAATTCTCACCTATTTTCCTACATGAGGATTTATTCCTTATAAGCCTCAAGTACGTTGATCGACTGTTAAATGAAACCCAATTAAAATATCTTTTGTAATATATATTATAGGATGGGGCTATACCCAGTCGTAGAGGAAGTAGCGAAGACCCTGGAAACCGTAGACGGGTTCCGTTTGAGGCAGTTATGTGATGTGAAACGCCAACTAGAACAAGACCGCGACACGCGTAAAGCACTATGTAAGAAGTACCATAGAGCTTTCAATATCGTGGACGGGGCTGACACTGCCCTTATGGCAACCAGCATGGGGCTGGGAGCAGCAGGTGTTGGGTTGTTAGCTACCATCGTGGCTACCCCCGTAGTGCTAGGCATTGAAATAACAGCTGGGGTGGCAGGGGTGTTAGGGTTGGTGCTTAAGTTTGCATCCCGCAGACTGCATCGTAAGGCATTGAAACACGACGAGATCAGAGTTCTGGCCGAAGCAAAGCTGAACACAGTAAGTGAGCGTATTTCCACTGCACTCACTGACAGTAAGATCTCAGAGGAGGAATTTAGTTCAATCCTCTCTGAACTCACAAAATATAACAAAATGAAACAAGAGATTCGATCCAAGTCTCGTAAGTCTACTATCAGCGAGGACGAGAAAAAAAAGTACATAGAACAAGGGGTGAAAAAAGCCCGGCAAGCCTTTATTACAAACACCAAAGAGATCATAGGCGATTCACATTAAACTGTTTCATCGAGGTAAACATGGCATAGCGGCACAATAGTGCCATAGCGGCACGTTAGGCGCAGCCCAGTATTGGATGGTGCAATCCCAGGATACCAACACACTCCAGCCATGTCCCCGGTGCGGCTAGGAGGTGCGTTCGTATCCCGCTATCGTCCCAAACTTTTTTATAGTAGGGGTAATGGTATCAAGAGCTAAGGGTCCGACCAAAGCCTTACTTGTGAAATAAGGCTTTGCAGAGGCTTTGGTTGAAAGTGATCCAGAACCCCCATTGTATATACTACTCCAAGTCAGCGAGCCTGACCACCCGATCCCGTTAGTCGCCTCTTACGACAAGCATGGGTTACTGAAGATCAATTCTAACCCGGATCTTCACGGGTTCTTCAACTTTATGTTTAAACTGTTATTCATGGGTACATTGTGGTTACGCTACTCCCGTGTTGTGGACGTATGCACGACATACCTGCTCTAGAATATATAACGCGACTCTATTGCATATACATGTAATTTGAAACTCAGCAATATTTATCCTCCCGACTAAAGTTGAATTATATTGCGCTAAACTAGTTTATAGTTTTAGTAAATGGTGATTAAATAAGCAGTTTGTAAAGTCACTATTGTTGTCTTCTTAATTATTTTTACAGATTTGCTGGTTCTTGAGGTTGTACATTTACATAAACAAATGATGTGCGTTCGTTATGTTTACCCAGAGATTTACATGATTTTCTTCTTTAACGGAAGAAGTATTGAAGTTACTTGTTGACCACCGCCTCCGTGGTGTAGTGGTTAGAGCGTCCGCCCGGAGAGCGGAAGGTCGCGGGTTCGATCCCCGACCGCGTCATACCAAAAGACGTTAAAATATGGTACTTGTTGGTCCCTGCCTGGCGCTCGGCATTAATGGGTACAACAAGGACTGGTCGGCTCGGAGTCAGTATAATGTGTCTGAGTGGGGTATTCATGCTTCACTGCGGCATGGTATCTCAGTGGGCTAGCACTATAAAACCAGCTTCAGTCTGGGCTAGTACAAGCAGCCGCACATACACATACACACGCATGCACGTCGTCATATGAGCGAAATATTCTCAAGCACGACGTTAAACATAATTCCACCACCACTTGTTGACCTGTATGACTGACCTCACTGGGTTATGCTGGGAATAATCACTGATATTTTACGTAGATCTTCATCGCCCTCCTCATGATCATCCCCGGGGATATCAGCGGCCTCATCGACTTCTTCAGCTTCACCGCCTGGATGTTTTACGGCATGACCTTCCTTTCCCTCATCGTCCTTAGGTTCAGGATGAAGGATGCTGAACGGTCGTATAAGGTAACGGTTTTCCGGGTTTGGTAAATGCTCATTTCACTCAACCGTCATGGAGACTAGAGACAGCTACCTTGGCCTCGTCAAGATTGAAGAAGGTCACATATTTTATGCATCCATTACTTCGCCTGTTTAACGAATTGAGAAGAGCCCCGGTAATCAGAGTGAGTGATTGAGTGAGCATGGTTTTACGCCGCGTTTTAGCAATATTCCAGCAATATCACGGCGGGGGACACCAGAAATGGGATTCACACATTGTACCCATTTCGGGAATCGAACCCGGGTCTTCGGCGTGACGAGCGAACGCTTTAACCACTAGGCTACCCCACCGCCCCCCCGGTAATCAGAACGGTATCCTATAGCAAACTACAATCCGGATTAACAAATGTCCTTTTCAACGTATCATTTCCAGAAAAAGAGATCCGGGGTGAAGGGTGAGTTGAGTTTTACGCCGCCTTTAGCAATATTCCATCAATAATATCACGGCGGGGGACACCACAAATGGGCTTCACACATTGTACTCATGAGGGGAATCGAATCAGGGTCTTCGGCGTGACGAGTGAACGCTTTAACCAGTAGGCTATCCCACCACCCCCGGGATAATAAGGGCATGCTCATGATACAGCTGTAATGGCATTGATGGTTCTGGCAGAGATTTTTGTTGAATACAGAAAGGAGTTCATGGCTTTTGGTCATTCCAAGGATAAATTCCAATCTATTGGATTCGTTCTGTTGCCGCTACATCGTTCTTTAAAGGTTTTATCATCCCCATTATTTGTGTATTGGTAAATCACAAAGTTTGTAATGCGAGAAGCCTGACCAGCCACTTATATCTATTTCATAAATTTCCTGTAATAAATTCTACAATAGGACAATTTTACCATGAGACACGGTGGCAATCTTGGGTAATATTTAACATTTGCTGCTTCTGTTGTCCAGTAAGTACGTTAACGTATGAAGGTGTGAAATGTTTGGAACTGACCAAACAGATTGGCCCAGTGGGAATTGAAGGAACCAGTTGTATGTTCTGTGTTTCAGGTTCCAATCCCAATCCCAATCATCATGCTGCTGATTTCTCTGTACCTGATCATTGCCCCAATAGTGGAGGATCCCAGGATTGAGTTCCTGTACGCTTTCCTCTTTGTCATCGGGGGTCTCATCTTCTATATCCCACTTGTACATTTCAACCTAAAGGTTCCAGGTTTTGGTAAGTCGGGTTTTGATATATGCTAGTCTCGTCTTCTACATCCCACTTGTACATTTCAACCTAAAGGTTCCAGGTTTTGGTAAGTCGGGTTTTGATATATGCTAGTCTCATCTTCTATATTCATTTCAACCCATGGTAAGTCCACTTGTACATTTCAACCCTAAAGGTTCCAGGTTTTGGTAAGTCGGGTTTTGATATATGCTAGTCTCATCTTCTACATCCCACTTGTACATTTCAACCTAAAGGTTCCAGGTTTTGGTAAGTCGGGTTTTGATATATGCTAGTCTCATCTTCTACATCCCTTGTACTTGTTACATTTCAAGTCGGGTTTTGATAAAGGTACATTTCCAGGTTTTGGTAAGTCGGGTTTTGATATATGCTAGTCTCATCTTCTATATCCCACTTGTACATTTCAACCTAAAGGTTCCAGGTTTTGGTAAGTCGGGTTTTGATATATGCTAGTCTCATCTTCTATATCCCACTTGTACATTTCAACCTAAAGGTTCCAGGTTTTGGTAAGTCGGGTTTTGATATATGCTAGTCTCATCTTCTACATCCCACTTGTACATTTCAACCTAAAGGTTCCAGGTTTTGGTAAGTCGGGTTTTGATATATGCTAGTCTCATCTTCTATATCCCACTTGTACATTTCAACCTAAAGGTTCCAGGTTTTGGTAAGTCGGGTTTTGATATATGCTAGTCTCATCTTCTATATCCCACTTGTACATTTCAACCTAAAGGTTCCAGGTTTTGGTAAAGTCAGGTTTTGATCGGGTTTATGCTAGTCTCATCTTCTATATCCCACTTGTACATTTCAACCTAAAGGTTCCAGGTTTTGGTAGTTCAAGTGTTGGTCTCATCATCACCAGCATATAACGATGTCACGGCCGGGTTACACCAGAAATGGGTTTCACACATTGTACCCATGTGGGGCATCTAACCTGGGTCCACTAGGCTATCCCTACGCTCCCGTACTTTTAAGAAAGAATCATCACCATTAAATAATGGTTCATAAACACATTCTCTTGACATAGTCGGAATTGTACAATCGAGTCTGCTTTCCGTAGAAATATCTTCTGGATGCGGAAAGGGTTTTGTCACTTTTATTCATTTTAGTAGTATAGAATAACATGAAAAAAGCCACAACAATTAATTGTATTTTCTACGTTTCAGATAAAATAACGGAATGGTGTCAGTTGGTTTTAGAGATTGTCCCATCAAGGGTCGAGCCTGATTCCTAAGATGCCTACACGATCCTTGGAGTTACCTCCAGTCTGTGATAAGAACCCCTGCAGTTGTTACCATCTGTTGATACAGAGACGTATGTGCTCTGCATATCTTGAATTACATAACGGTCATTGCTAACCAGAATAATCAACTGACGAGTGGTTTAGGACTCTTTTATGAAAGAAAGAGCATTATAATGGCCAAATGGAGATTCATAATATATAGCATTGCAAATAGCAACATTTCTAGAAATTGTAAGAAAATGTACAGTGTTTTGAAATTATAAGAACATTTGATGTGAAGCGTAGGCAAGGATGAAATATGTTTGAAACGTATTTTCTAAAGCTTCTTCTAATATCAGTGTCAGCAAGTCTTTACCTGTGCTGATTTTATGCTGATGTACATATGAGCAGTACTACTGACTGAGTTTGGATTTACGCCGCTTTTAGCAATATTCCAGCAATATCACGGCGGGGGACACCAGAAATGGGCTTCACACATTGTACCCATGTGGGGATTCGAACCCGGGTCTTCGGCGTGACGAGCCACCGCTTTAACCACTAGGCTACCCCACCGCCCCCTTGAGCAGTTTTAACTTATGAAGAAGTCCAATAGGTCACGCACGTATAATATTCTCTACTTAAAGTTAATGAAGACAAACTTACCACTCAGTTTAGTCATAGCTAGGTACGCTGTCAGGTCCAAGTCTAAGAATGAAGAAAGCCTATTTATCAACCACACTTAACATTTCAAATGATTTTATATTAGATGGACGTGTCCTGTTTACCCCCTTTCAGATCGTCTAATGTCACAGAACGCAGTTAAATTCTGTATATTTACAAAGGAATATCCTTCGAATGGTTCTACATTGATTTGTAAATGTCATTTTGGCAGTGTAGTTGTAGTTTACGTATATTTGACGGCCCTCTGTATGTTTAGTATAAAAGTAAGTTGAACAACACCCCATTTTGTCACGTGACTATAACTGCTCCGCCATGTCATGATAAATCATTGTCATACAAACATTCATCTTGTGGTTTTGAAACATTTTTGGTAGCACATAGATATTATTATTCAGCTAGTTTCGTTGCCATTTTAAAAAAATGTCATTTTGGGAAAATTGTAATACAATACCCTGCTAATTACAAAATCCTGGTTTTAGATAGAAACGGGCTAACAATGAGGGGTCAGTATGCTCAAACATCTCTTCATGTGGCCCCATGGTAAAAATGTATGGTAACATTGTCAGTTATCTGGGTTATTACTGTACGATGTACCTATATGTACCTACATCGAGCGTTTGTTTCCACAATGGAACTGTATTGCATTGGTTACGTTTCCTATCAAGGAAGATTTCATTCACACGAAGGAGCAATATCCCATCCCTGTATCCCAGACGCATCTGGTTTGTATAATAAAACATTTTATACTCAAATTGTTTCTTGTGATTTTGTGCCATTATTGTATCAGTGTTGTAGATAAGAATACCTTTCTTACTGTGAATTGTGAAAGTTATTAAAGGTGATAAATTTTTACTTGATATGTTATCCTACAGAATGGGTAAGTATGGCTTTACGCTAAGCAATATTCCAGCAATATCACGGGTAAGTATGGCTTTACGCTAAGCAATATTCCAGCAATATCACGACAGGGATCCCAGAAATGAGCACCACACATTGCACACATGTGGGGAATCCAACCCGGGATTTTACCACGCTTCAACCACTAAACGAATGGGCCAGAAAGAACTTGAAGGTAACACTGTACCCAACACATTATAGAATGAATGATTAAGTTACAACAGCATTACAACATTGGCCACAGAGGGGATACCTCCTTATCAAGAACAGGGCGGTTGGGAGGTCTAGTGGTTAAAGCGTTCGCTCGTCACGCCGACAACCCGGGTTCGATTCCCCAAATGGGTACAATGTGTGAAGTCCACTTCTGGTGTCCCTCGTCGTGGTATTGTTGGAATATTGCTAAAAGCGGCGTAAAACCATGCTCACTCATTTATCAAGAACACTTTAGGAGAGCTGACACTTTACTTGTTCCAATCGCTCCAGTGCCAAGTCTTAAGGCTCCAGACGGAATCAATCAAGCTTAAGCAAGCGAGATGAGGTGACTTGGAGAAGCCTACGGGAAGACTTGGCAGCCGTAGTCATGTAATCTTAGAGCACTAGACAGAATCCGATCGATCTTAATCAAGCTTGATGAAGGTCTGTTATCAGCCTATAGTGAAGCACTGATAACATAATGCTTTATAAACAATAACATGGATCATTTATCAGTCGCCCGTCACACACATGGATTGGAACGGTTGCAAAGATGGAATATATGGCTTGTAAGACTCTGATCAGAATAACCGATCTTAACTAAGATCAATCTTAGCAAGTTACGCCAATTTTACAATCGTCTTAGCTAAAAGTTACACCCGTTCCACTAACCGATCTTAGGCCGATCGTAGCCGGTCCCGATCTTACGATCCGATCCAAGCTTAGATGGAGACTCTTTCGTTAGAGAGATAGAGGAATGCGAGGCACGAGTTATTTCCCTTTGCATAGTCTAGCAAATGATGGAAGTAGTTTACGAACCAACTGAGTGAGTGAGTGAGTTTAGATTTACGCCGCACTCAGCAATAGTCAAGCTATATCGCGGCGGTCTGTAAATAATCTAGCTAATTAAGATGCATAGCGTTCACTAACATGAGCGTTCATGTTAGTGAACGCTATGTATCTTAGCTATAAATAATCGAGTCTGGACCAGAAATTCCAGTGATCAACAGCATGAGGATCGATCTGCGCAGTTGGGAACCGATGACATGTGTCAACCAAATCAGCGAGTCTGACCACCCGATCCCGTTAGTGGCCTCTTACGACAAGCATGGGTTATTGAAGTTCAATATTCTAATCCGGGCCTTCATGGGTATTTTTCCAACCAAGTATAAACGTGGAGAAAAAAACCTAGAGCAAAATATTAGGGTAGTGAGCACCTTGGTTTCAGGTGCAAGTGTGTGTGAACGCTGGGTATCAGGCATAATATAATAATAATAAATGCATATTTATAGTGCGCCTATTCCACATCCTGGGGCATGCTCAAAGCGCTATGTACAGATAATTTACACGAGAGTATTTACAGCCGAGATTAGAAATAATATACTGAGAACAGGTTTTAAGTCTGGACTTAAAACATGTCAATTGTGTCAGAGCTTTTATTATGTGACTGAACCTTGTCAATCAGAATAAACAAGGCGTGACGAGGCATCCTCTATATAACGTATCTAGAATCTGTCAGTGGTCTTGAATAACACGCGGCCTGCCTTTAGAATCCCCCACCAAATAAGCGCACGTCAAATCAAACATATTTGTATCTTTTTGTTTCAGAACATTGTTCACTTCACGGCTGTCCCTATTCTTAACCATGACGTTGCAATATTGTTGTACAAATGTGTTACACCGACTCGCTCGGTTGTGTTCCTATGACGACAGTGGTCAGACTGGCCTGACATTTGTAAGGCTTCAGTGCAGTGTTTGTTTACATCACAGAAATATACAAATTCATTTCAAAGGGGATTTTAGGAGACGCTCACGGTGAAATGCTCGCTCTTATTTTTCACATAGAATAGGAAAGCCACCATTTTGGTTTCTCTACGATTGATTTTAGCTATCCTAAGTTGGTCATGAGCAACTTAGACTTTGAATCTTAACTTTACGATTGACTTAGCTAAGATTGGTTAGTGGAACGGTATGCCGATCGTAACGTCACGCTAAGATTTGGATTTTAGGGGTTTACGATTGGCATAGGGCTAAGATCGGTTAGTGGAACGGCACCCTGAAATGTCAACGGTAATACAATGACCAGGTTATGGTAACTCAACACTAGGGCTGAGCAATATAACCGGTTTACCGGTATTTACCGGTTCAGACATGAAAACGATACGTATTGCGATACGCTGATCGAAAACCGGTATTTTGACATGCATTCGGAAAACATTGTAACACTCGGAAATCTTCGGATATTTCCGTTTTTGAATTGTTCTTTTCCCTGTTTCATTAGTGCCAAATGTTACTTACAATTTTATTTTGTCATGATTAAGGTTTTATTAAAGGTTAATCAATCATAGTGATTTTGTTGTGTTTTTGCTTTATAATCAAGCATTAACTCGATTATAAATAGTTTTTGTTAAAAATATAATTCTTGCAATATATTGCAATACATATCGCAATATATGCTTCCGCATCGCAATATATCGCAATATGAAAATTCTCTGCAATACCCACCCCTACTCAACACCAGACTGAAGTCTTCGACGAGTGATTATCATTGTTTTTGCTACTGATACTGATTTGGGTGTTTTAATACTCATTCTGAACGTAATGCATTAAATATTCCTAAACATTCGTTACTAAAGATCGAAGATTACAAAATCATCCACAACACGAACCCTCACCTGCAAACTTGAATCATGAACATCATGATCAGTCATAGCTGATGAAGGGCGGTGGGTAGCCTAGAGGTTAAAGCGTTCGTTCAGCATGCCGACACCCGTGAAGGTCCGGGTTAGAATGTTGGCCTTCAGTAACCCATGCTTGTCGTAAGAGGCGACTAATGGGATCGAGTGGTCAGGCTCGCTGTCTTGGTTGACATATGTCATCGGTTCCCATTGCGCAGATCGATGCTCATGCTGTTGATCACTGCATTGGCTGGTCCAGACTCGATTATTTACAGACCGCCGCCATATAGCTCGAATGTTGCTGAGTGCGGCGTAAAACTAAACTCACTCACTCACTCACTCAGCATGCCGAAGACATGCGTTCGATTCCCCGTCATGGGTACAATGTGTGAATCCCATTTTTGGAAATGTCCCGCAGTGATATTGCTGAAATATAGCTACAACTAACTAACTCACTAAACTGACTAACTCACTCACTCACCCAGATGACAGGAAGTTTACAGACCTATTCGCAGTCTGAAACCGTTCCCACACAAACTGCCATATGGCTGTTCGCCACTATGTTCCCAGTTGTACCCATAGAAGGTGTAGGATATATATATATTCTTTCTGCCATCATCTTTGTTCCAGAGCACATGGATAGAACTGTGGTTTCAACAAGTGGTTTCTTCTTTCATTCCCTCGCCGTAAACCTTTGTCGTCGCTGACATATTGATGTACTATTTCTTCATCTTCAAAATACTCCTGTACTGAGACTCGAACTCTCAGGGACAATATCCCTGTAACACTGAGGTTAAAGGCTCCTCAAGCTCTGACAAACAGATTTCCATCGTATCATAAAGTCGTCTTTGTCTACCTTTTCGTGAATTCATCCTCACCAACGATCTGAAGAATGTTAGACCAAGTCCTGGGTTAACTGAATAACATTTCATTGTGGATTTCACTGGCAAATCGAAATCAGGGTTCAAATCATTCGCACCAATATTTTGAACATTTGGATCCCAATGTCATGCTTATACCAGCGAACTCTGCACTGGTTGATGTGTTCGTGACTGTATCTGTGACGTCATCTCCCTCGTGCCTCGTCCCTCAACACCATTGGCCACAAAGACGAGCGACAACGTCAAACTGGGGATGAGAGGTCCATGCGTAAGCAGTCCACCAAACAAAGACAGACATGACAAACATATACTGAGAGAAACAAATAAAGGATCACTGGAAAATTCAAGCGTTCCTTAATTTTTCCAGTTTTCATCACCAGCTTTGAATAGCGCTGTGGTGATGAAAACTGGAAAATAATAAAGGAACGCTTGAATTTTCCTGTGATCCTTTATTTGTTTCTCTCAGTATATGTCAAACTTATGTGCTGACGGCAAAACAAACTTACCTTGGTGATAATCTCTTTAATTCCGAAGATAGATGATAGTTAAAGCGACATTACCTCGTCCCTTGTTACACGCCTGACCTTGTTGCACAATCACTGAAAGCAGTGCTTTGTATGGGTATACACATCTGTTGCCTTTCGCTTGGGGACAGTCCTGTTGCGGAAAGCGGGAGTCGAGAAGAATTTTGACGTTAATTAACCTTCGTGAAAATCCGGGAAAAGACGAATTTTATGGAAATCGACGATTGGGTAGATTGGATTGTTCTGTTTAGCCAAAATTACATGGAACAATGTTCTTTTATGTTTAAGTGAAATTTTATGATAGAATTAAGTTTAATTCCTTGACTTACGTATTTTAACACATAATATTTTACATTTCAATTATCTGGATATATAACTATTTCCATGTACATTTAGTTCTGAATACACACATAAAACAGACACACACATATATATTGCTTTCTTTGGAACATGTTGCACAATTTACGCTGTTGAAGCAATGACACCGTGGAACAGGTGCTGAACACCAGGTGTCGAGGAAAGACTTCGTCCAATGATGTTTATCCTAATCCTTTTCGAAGCAGGACATGACATTCCGGAAGTTGACGAGTCCACCTACGACCTCAACCTCCCCAGTGACGTATGACGTCAAGGCGGCCATCTTGCTGATGGTTATTTCACGCCACACTGTCTCAGTCGTCTTGACCTTGATTTGGTATGACGTTAAAGGTCTGTCACCGATAAGAACGATCGAATTTCGCACAGTTAAGGAAATAAACGTATTAGAGTCAGTAAATTCAAACAAAACAGTTGTGTTCGTATTTGGGCATGTTTCTGGCATAAACCGAACCCGCAACAGACTGAACAGCGTTGCCATGGGAGCGATTCTGATGAAGCCGTGTCTACGGTCGCCGTTTATCTTTGTATTTAGTTCTCCAAGAACTTCCAATGCTGACGTGAAGAAATAGTTCCGGCCATTCGCACTGACTTGCTGACTGCCAAGAGCCATCATACAAATCGAGGCAATTCGGCGCGCATCTGTGTTCTGTTCGTCTACTCTAATGACGTGGGAGGCCAAGGTCAAGGCCCATCTGTGATCTCCTTTGTCAAGTGCTTCCTGTGCTGCGGTCACACATCTATCAACACCGCCACCCAGTTCTACATACCTATTGGCTAATTCGTCTGGGGTCAAAGGTGAAAGGTTAACCGGGTCACCGCTAAACCAACCCATGTATGTATTAAATACGCCTTTAACGGACCACTCCACGGTGCCGTACAGTTCTATTAGATAAGGATGTGTAGCTAGATGTTCTGGAAGACGGACCTTGGCAGCAATCTCGTCTGGCAGTAAACCTTTGTTCATAAACCTGACAGTCTGATCATGAACAAACTGGATGGCGTCTCGGTAACTGGTCAGCAGTGACGTGATGGCATCAGCGCCCTCCAGTGGCCGTGTGTGACTCGGGACGAGGTAATGTGGTTCAAGGTCAATAATCTTGTCCAGTGAGGATGACCAGTCTAGTAGACTGCGTGACGTCGTTCCCCTGATAGCGTAGAGGTTGGGGAAGGCACGGTAGACGTCGTCGGCGCACAGGAACACCTTCTCGTCTGGCAGCCATACTCCGATCTGGTCCGGAGTCTCTCCGGGGATATGGACTAGCTTCATCTTAACGCCTACAAAATAATAAATCAAATATAAAGTCACTCGTTTTCTAGCACTCAAATGATTATAGTTTATAGAACATTGTATGAAAGTGGGATATGTCGAGGAAGTGCAATCACACTGCCATAAAGATGTCTGACCATTGACCGGCCACAGTCACGTCTCTCTGTACCAATCTGCCACACTCATGTCTCTCTATACCAACCTGCCACACTCATGTCTCTCTATACCAACCTGCCACACTCATGTCTCTCTATACCAACCTGCCACACTCATGTCTCTCTATACCAACCTGCCACACTCATGTCTCTCTATACCAACCGGCCACAGTCATGTCTCTCTATACCAACCGGCCACAGTCTGTCTCTTTATACCAACCTGCCAGTCATGTCTTTCTTCACTAACCTGCAACGATGATATCAGATGAGACCAGGTTGTTGTCCTTCCTCTGTCCATCTCAGCTTCATTCCTTGTTGGGGCGCTCTCTCTATCCCTACAAACATCTTGGTGGGGAAGATGAGACCAGGTTGTTGTCCTTCCTCTGTCCATCTCAGCTTCATTCCTATACCGGCATTGATGTGGTTCGGGATGAGCACCCCAAACTGCCTCATGGCTCGCTGATATCCTATCGGGGAGGAGTAGAAGAAGGTTTGGAGCTCCGACAAGATGCTACGATGTGCCCAGATCTCTGGTGTCGGTTGGTCCTTCTCGATAAACCCCTGTCGTTGCAACAAAGAATGATCTTGTTTAAAACATACCCACTCGTCTAGGGCATGTCCTATAACGTATTAGACTAGGTGGGCTGAATGAGGAGGTTGGGTGAACGCTGAACAACTTCTGTCAGCTACCAGATCTGACCTTCGCCATGGTCCGCTCGTTCGTTCGTTCGTGTTACACCGTAACAAGCAATACTTCAGTTTAATGACGGCGGTTTGAGTAACTGGCATCATAAAGTTCGACCTTGTGTCATAGTTTGTGAATATATATTTTCACTTTAATGTACATCAAAATAACACATTGAAGCATTTTATGCATTATGTCCTATTTAACTGTACGTAAAGTAATAGAGAGAAGTCGTTAAAGTACTCGGGACTAACACAGACGGATACCCTCTTCAGCTATATGCTATTTCTTCTGGCGCATGATATAATGAGACATTGTACTTTCACCCCGGCAATACCTGGGGCCAGTTAAACAAATATTTTTACGTTCTTAATTTGACATTTGGAAACTTTATTCCAATTATTCTTTATAATAATAATAAATAATAAATGTGAACTTATAATGCGCCTTTTCCATGCACAAGGCCCATGCTCAAAGCGCTAACAAAGTGCCCAGATAGCATTCGGACGTTGGCCCAACATTGGCAATGTTGGCAAAACCATTGCCAACGTTGGGCCAACGTCTGAATGCTATCTGGGTGGGTGGATAATATACATATATACAATGAGGGACTAGTAGCTAGTCATAATGCAGTGAAAACAGATGAATCTTGAGAAGTCGTTTGAAGGAATTAAAGTCAACTGCTGATTTAATGGTGATAGGGAGAGAGTTCCAGAGTAGAGGGCAGAGCAGGCAAAGGATTTCCTTCAAAAGTTTGCAGTTTGAACCGAGGCACAGAGAGTAAGTTCAGATTCTGAGAATGGAGCTGTCTTTCTGGAGTGTATGGGGTAAGAAGTTCTTTCAAGTATTCTGGGCCTTTGCCATTGAGGCATTTGTAGACAAAACACAATATTTTAAAGTCAATTCTTGATTTAACAGGCAGCCAGTGGAGGATTGTCACGACAGGTGTTATGTGGGAGCGCTTTGAAGTTCTGCTTATGATTTTGGAGGCTGTATTTAGTCACAACTCCGTCCCCCTCTACATACATACCCACCTTCTCCCAACCACCCCTTTCTGGAACTCGAGGTGAGAAGTGGGAATTTCGTGCGAAACGAAATTAGAGTAATAAATATGAAGCCTTGTTGTGTACAAAGATCTGTTTCATTGACGTTAACACATACCCGAGCTCCGTACGTGTGGTCAGCGTGGTTGTGGGTGTAGATGATGGCTTTGACAGGCTTGCTGGTGATGTTCCTGAAGGCGGCGAGAATCTCTCTACCTGCAGCCACGCTCTCCGTGACATCAACAATAATAATGCCGTCGTCGCCGACGATCATGATAGAGTTGGCGATGGCAAAGCCGATGGCAGAGTATACGTTGGGTGTTACCTGTAAGGCACAGAAGAATCCTATTACAGTACAGAGTTGATAATACTGCAGAGGTCTAAATAAACTCTAACTTTGATATCGCTCGTTTCGTCTGAGCACCGTGGGTCTATTGGATTAGAATAGATCTTCTAGAAGCCCAGTTTGTCGTAGACAGCGACAAAATGGATCACGTGATCAAGAAAGTCGACGTTGAGTCGGTTGCATAAGAGATAACAATTATAGTTTGAAATAAAGATTTACCTATTCTATCCCTTATATAACATGCCCATCAGTCAGAGCCGTGAGTCATTATATAATGTAATTTACTGATCTATTTCCAGACTAAACTTTAATACCATTTACAGATCAGAATATAAGTAGCAAATTAGAGATTTACCCCCAGAGGATGTATATAATGCATAAATATAATTAAATGATGAATGCATGCGCAGCTTCTTGTTTTGGCAACACAATGTTGACAATATATTTTCTCTTACAGACCATCTACTATCTAACTTTATGTCTATATCTGGATTTTCATTCAACAGTACTAAAAGGTATTGTTAAGAATAAATATGCCACAGAGATATTATATATTGTTATGATTGCATAATTTCGAATTTATCCCAAAAATCATTCCTTGAAGATATTTTTTATGAATTTATATATATACTTACTTATCATTTTCATCTATTCGAAATGTGAAACATGCCATTATAATATAGATCATTAATTTATCATTATCAAAATGCAGTCATTGTAGAAATTTGGAATAAACATCACCATTCATCCATACAATCATTTTTACATCATGCACACAAACCCTTACAGGTACCAGATGGCGATTCATTATTGCAATAAAAGCAATCATGATCATTGGTGATGTATACTGAACAACATTAGAAACGCACCACACTAAAATGCACCGACGATGCTCAGATATGGGTACATTTCAGTCTGACGGGGATATTTCGTATTACAATCGTGGTCCGTTTCTAATGTTGTTCAGTATATTATGATATCATGGTACAAATATGTTAGCATATAACTCTTGATATATCATCGTTAAGGGCAAATATATATTGTCCATGTACCACGTTACCCGTTATACTGGTTAACGGTCTCTAAATGTAACAGTAACACGTACAGCTCACTTCGCGCATACAACATGCGCATTCATAACTACTCGTCCCTTTCCGTCAGGTTACGGAAAGGGACGAGTAGTTACGTATGACGACATGCGCTATCAGTTTAAGGTTAGGTCGTCAGCATCAGTACACCTAGCGGATGAGTGAAGAGAAGATAATTTAACAAAGATTGCCTATTTTTTTTCGCGTGAACTTTTCATTTGGTGTTTTATTCGCTAGTTTTCAATAATACCTTGTTACGTATTGATACGGTAGTTTTCTTTCTAAACATATTACAACGAATACGTTCATCAACGTTTTGAAGTGGCAGTTCCAAATTCTCTTCTCTTTTGTCTGGAAACGCGTCCATGGCTTTCGACGAAAAGGTTTCACGTATATTTCCTGTGACGGTCAGGGTGTTGGCGAGATCGACGGTTCACACATGGTCCCGGCTTTCAGTGCCTACGAGTTATCTTACATGGGTTTATTTTTTAAGTTGGGGTGCGTGTGGTCTTACGCAACTTTTAGCAATATTCCAGCAATATCACGGCGGGGGAGCATCAGAAATGGGCTTCACACATTGTACCCATGTGGGGAATCGAACCCGGGTCTTGAGCGTGACCAGCGGACACTTTAACCACTAGACCACTCTAACGCCCCTCGAAGTGAGAGGTCCATGACACCATGTAACAAGTGCAGCATTGTCGAATTATTAAACCGAATGGATCTGAATGTTAACGGTCGAACACTGAAAATGAACCCTTTGGATACTTACCATACTTACCGGGAGGATCTCACTTTCATAACCAATATTCCAGACATATAGTATGACCAGAAATTATTGAGAATTTTAGGAATATGATTAATTGGATTTCTAGTATAAACAACCTTGACCAGCTATCAAGTGCTTGGTTTCATTCAAGAGAGTCAACTCCGTTAATCCTTTTTCATTAGTTTGTGAAGAGTTATCCCCCTTTGTTTACTTGCTAGCAGACGACATTTTCAGCGATCCTCAGTATGGATGATTTAGAGAAGAGGAAGTTGATTTTAGAGTATTATTAACAAGGACATCAGATCAGCTAACGTGATTTCAAGTAGAACAGGCATCCCTTTGTCCACTGTTTATCGTGTTTTGAAAAGTATTGCAAATGGATATGGCATTGAGCACCAGGGAGGCGCAGGTAGGCCCAGAAAATTGACTGTCGGTGACAGTAGGCGGCTTGCTATTCTTGTTTGTAAAAACAAACGAAGGAGTTTAGAAAAATTAAGTCTGGATATGATTGATAGAGGAACTATTAGAACTGAGCTGCATGCAATGGGTTGGCAGAAAAGTCGAGGAATTCCATCACCGATCATGAAACCTGAACAAAAGGAGCGAAGGTTGAACTGGTGCTTACAGCATAGAAATTTTAACTGGGACAGTGTGATTTTCTCAGATGAAAGTTCTGTGTGGCTGTTTCTTAATACACTGAAATTCTGGACCAAACAAACTGAAAAACTTTTGTATCAGCGCCCAAAGTACAGTCCGAAATTTAACGTGTGGGATGGCATATCTGTGTTAGGGGCAACGCCCCTCCGTGTATTTGAAGGGAATATGAACAGTGAGCGGTACACAGATATTCTCGAGGGACATTTACTTCCATCTGCTCATGCGTTCTATGGAAATTTTTGTTTTGGATTTTCCAGCAGGACAACGACCCAAAACATCGTTCAAAGCATTCACAGGCCTGGTTTCGGACCCAAAATATGACATTATTAGATTGGCCAAGCTATAGCCCTGACCTAAATCCAGTAGAAAATGTTAGGGGACTTATGAAGGAAAGTGTCAATAAGAAAAATCTGACAAATATTGCTGAAATGAAAGAAGAGGTGGTCCGATATTGGGACAGCATGGACCACGACTTTCTAACTTCTTTGATCAGTAGTATGCCCCGCCGCATTGAAGCCTGCATTGCTGCCAATGGTGACTTGACAAAATACTAACTGTTCACCTGTCTTTGAATCAGGAGTTATGTTCTGCTAATATTCACATTTAATACTTGAGTAATGAGTGAAAAAAAATTAAAAATTACAATCTTTAAATTCTCAATAATTTCTGGTTGTACTGTACCACGCTGGGAACCGCCTCCGTGGTGTAGTGGTTAGAGCGTCCGCCCGGAGAACGGAAGATCACGGGTTCGATCCCCGGCCTCGTCACACCAAAAGAAATATGGTACTTGTTGGTCCCTGCCTGGCGCTCGGCATTAATGGGTACAACAAGGACTGGCCGGCTCGGAGCCAGTATAATGTGTCTGAGTGGGGTACTCATGCTTAACTGCGGCATGGTATCTCAGTGAGCTAGCACTATGAAACCAGCTTAAGTCTGGGCTAGCACAAGCAGCCACACATACACACGCATGCACGTCGTCATATGAGCGAAATATTCCTAAGTACGACCTCACCTCACCTCACCTCACCTCACCTCACCTCACCACGCTGGGTCATAATTGGCCTCACGCATGGTAAACCATCCAGATTATACCAACAAACGCTTTGACCTTAAGGCCAACAATGTGCATCCTTACCTGCAACCAGGGAAAGTGGGGAAGGCTAATGGTTAAAGCGTCCGCTCATCACCAAGACTACCGACTGTAGGGTTCGATTCCCCACATGGGTTCAATGGGTGGAGCCCATTCCTGGTGTCACTCGCCGTGATATAGCTGGAATATTGTTAAAAGCGACGTAAAACCTAACTCACTTACTCATTTGACTATAAGGCCACCATTCTGCATCCTTGCTCGCAGCCAACTGAACCCATTCCTTTACCTGCACGATCTCTTTCTTGTTGAAGACGTTCGAGTGTTCCTTCAGGAGATCCGGAGCGCGGGCACCGCTGACCAGTCTCTCAATCTGCTCCTTCCTGGTCTGTCTTGACCACAGCCAGTTCCCCCCGAACGCCGCCGCCGCGAGGACGAGGGCGACAACAACACCAGTGTTGGCCATGTCGTACTGCCTGCAAAAACGCAAGTGTATTTTAGCACGATTTTAATAAGCATGTTTAATTCTTGTTTTATACATGAATAAACATGTTTAAACCATTTTAGCACGAATTCCCGTATCCGCCGAATCAAATATAGGTTCGTTAAAAAGCAGGGGCTGGATTTTCGAAGCTCCCTTAGCCATAAGATAGTCGTAAGTGCCATACATGAACATTAACTTACGACTATCTGAGCGCTAAGAGAGCTTCGAAAATCTAGGCCCAGGTCCGTAGAAAGAAATTAACATTCCATCTGAAAAATATTCCATTTTTATATCGTCCAGCCTGACCATAGAGCTTTAAAAAAACATCTGTTGCTCTCTCTGACAAATGATATATGCTCTGTGCCCTGTAATTGTTCAAATGCAATTCACCGGTACACTTAAACATTGTGAAGCTTACTTTCTTGTGTAAATGCTATAAAATATAGCACCCCTATCACATTTCATACAAATGTCAAAACGAAAACAGAATTTGAAACATGTTTTTCTCACTGTAAAGATCCCATAAGACATCAATTGGAATGGTTTCAGAAAATAATCTGTTCCACTTCTAATAAGAAAGGGTTATGACTGGTGTCAAATGTGTCTGAAAGGATCGGATTTCTCCGGATCAGTGACTTGGTTCATTGTGTCTCATCGTATCCTGACAGTGTTAACGGTTGCTTCCTGTATCAATCACTGGTCTGTCTGGTCCAGACTAGATTATTTGCATCCACTCGTTGTATTGCTGGAACGTTGTATTGCTGGTAAGTGTGAAATTTAACAACAAACAAAACATGGCTTATTACGCTATTCCGGTTTTGATCACATCCTCTTCTGTCGTTGTAGATGTCTTTCTTTCTGGGCAGTCACAGAACAAAATCTATACATTTGGTTGGGTTTCGATGGAAAACCTGACAGATCATCGTTGTTTTTGTTGTTATTATTGTCTTGTGGGACGGTGAGGTAGCCTAGTTGTCAAAGCGCTCACTCGTCACCCCGATGACCCAGGTTCGATTCCCCACGTGGATGCAATGTGTGAAGCCCATTACTGGTGTCCCCCGTCGTGAAATTGCTGGAACATTGCTAACGGCGGCGTAAAACCATACTCACTCAATTACTAGTATTGCTTTGTTGTTGATATAATTAAATTAATATTATTATCAAACGCATTCAGCATCATTTGCTATTATCTAGCATGTACCCATGTCAAGGACATCTACCTTGGTGAACAACTGTATCCACCCTTGAGCTGAATGTAATCTACCTACATACACAACAACGAGTGTTGTCGCCGTACCCCAGCGAGTCCACTCGCACCTGTCTCCATTGAACACCTACCACATCTACGACAACTACGACCCCAACATATCAACACCACCTTGCCTTCCTAACACCACCCTCCGTTTGTAACTAAAACCCTTGATCATATAAACAAGGGGATATAAGAAGGCCGATTCTCGCAACGCAGCTATCTGGGTCAAACTGTTAAGCGCGTCCATACCATTGTTTATAAATATGCTGTAACAACATTGTCTCAAGCAGTGACAAGCGCATACCTTGTGAATGTTTATGTCGTGTTGCCGTAGGTGGAGCTGCAGCAGTTTACGGCTCAGTTCAGATCGTTAATACTGACGCGGCGACCATTTCGGCTCAAAGTCCATTTTCTGGTCACCGTCAAATAGTCCCAGATAATACGTACTCTTCATGCCGCCAACCGCACATGTGAGAATCAAAACAACCAGTGAACTGGCTCACATCGCTGATACTGTTTGTATCCAACTTCACAATTAGCTGTGTTGCGGCGAGACTGTCCTTTAGCTGATAGAACCTGGGGGTCGAGAGACCTAGACTTACACAGGCTCCTCCCAAAGTATAGAATTCGATTTATAATCTTATTAATATGCTTATTCACGCTTTCTATCAACTATCACATTATTTGAACCATACATATCACACCGTCCATTCATATGTTTTGTTTCCAATGTTAACACTACACTCTCGCCACGTATATTTATGTACAACTGCTTCGCTTTACAGGGATGGGTAATGAGTATGGGTTTATTCCACTTTTAGCAGTATTCCAGAAATATCACAACGGGGGCAGCGGAAATGGGTTTCACACTTTGTACCCATCTGGGGAATCGAAGCCGGGTCATTTCCGTAAAGAGTGAGTGAATTTAGTTTTACGCCGCACTTACGATATTCCACCTATACTGTCTGTAAATAATCAAGTCTGGACCAGACAATCCAGTGATCGAAAGCATGAAAATCGATCTACGCAATTGGGATACGATGACATGTGTAAGCCACGTCAGCGAGCCTGACAGCCCGATGCCGTTTGGAATGTCAGTCTTCAGGATACAATAGGCCTCCTTCAAAACAAGACCTCAGTATTTTACACTCATTTTACTAATATTCTTGAAAATAGTTAGTCAACAGTATAATATAATATCGGCAATAACGCACGTGTGGTAATCAAAAATCGTAAATTGATATACTTCTACAACCGATATACAAGTTGATGTTCATATTATGTTGTTAATGACAAAAGACAACGTTATAAACGGTTTTGATAACTGTTTAAGACACACGAACTGACATTGCATCTATATATACTTAGTTCCAAAAGAAACGCGACATTCATGTTTGTTTTGAAATTTCCATAATTGTCTCATCTACTTTACAATCATAACGAATGTGCTTGTTAAATGTTATTTTAAACCATTTTTCGAAATTAAACTTCTGAAACAAGACTTTCAACGTCAGATTAGACGTGACAACTGAATCTAATTATTGAACATTTGTATGGGAAAAACAACAGAAACGCATCACATAAACGCATGCCCTGACGCGTTGTGCGTGTGAATTTAATGATACGACGCTTTCTTCAAGAAAAACGAGAGAAAGAACCCTTTAAAAGATGCGAAGGCAGTTTCTGTTGTGTTCCTTTTCTGAATGGTTCAGAGAAAAATATGCCACGTCTGAGCAAATAAGCACGTCTACGTACTCTTGGGATGATTCATGCTGGTTCAAGTGTGGTCAACGTTGCACGACATATGGGAGTACATCGGACGACAATTTACCGACTGATTGAACGCCAAAATCAAACGAATTCGGTGAGAGATCGACCTAGATGGCAGGCCACGAGTGACGTCACACAGGCAAGACCGTTACATCGTAACGTCACATCTTCGCAACCGTTTCCTTCCAGCTACTGTTACAGACCGTCAGACAATTGGGATTCACAAGAGACCAATTTCAGGAAACACTGTGCGTTGACGTTTGAGAGCACACCGGCTACACTGTAGGAGACCGTATGTTGGACCGATTTTGACGCCACGGGACAGCGCTTAGTATGGGCTCGCCAACATCAGCATTGGAGATATGCACAGTGGCAGAATGTTGTTTTCTCAGACGAGTGTCATGTTTGTGTCAACGTTGTAGATGGGAGAGTGAGAGTATGGCGTCGACGAAATGAACGTTTTCAGAGACCCATGTGTTCTGGAAAGTGACCGCTGGGGTGGGCCATCCCTTATGATGTGGGGTGGAATAAGCTGGGTAAGGCATGTACCACCTGTAATCTTCCAAAACAACGGTCAAGGTCGTGGAAGGGCCGTAACTGCACGACGCTACATTGACGAAGTCTTAAGGCCTGTTGTCGTCCCGTTCTTTAGACCAGACCACAGTTGCAGTTCCAACACGATAATGCCCGCGCCCACTCGGCCATTATCACAGGACAATTCCTGGCCAATCATCACATCCAGACAATGGTTTGGCCACCTCTTAGTCCTGATTTGAATCCAGTGGAACATCTCTAGGACGAGTTGGGCCGACGCCTTCGTCAAAGACCAGTTCCTCCACAAAATCGGCGGCAGTTGGAGAATGCAGTGTTGAATGAGTACAATAACATTCCCCGTGCTTTCATTCGACGTTTGTTCATGTCCATGGGAAGACGGTGTACTCATGTGATAAACAATAATGGTGGTCATACCAGGTACTGATAACATCGAATATCAGCTTAAGCTTCTAAACGTGTCTAATGCAGACTCTTCAGGTTGGACACAATAAAAATTTCATCCGATCTTAAATCCACTGTCGTTGCTGTTGCCTTTTATCTTTCTTTGGTGCGTTCTGTGTAAAGCATATAGTGGCAGGAAGCATGTATGTGGGATAACAGTTCTTATTTCAAATGGACATGTCGCGTTTCTTTTGGAACTAAGTTATATAAGACAATCCCTACTGACATTCATATCGTATGCTTATACTAACGTACAGTTATACATAGCTTATGCAACATAGCTCCCTCTGAGTGAGTGAGGATGCCCTTCTCGTCACCATCGTCTATATGTCTTGACCAACATCTCCTACCTCACTGTCATGACTACACATGAGCTGCTAAACTCCAATGCAGTGGCTGTGGTGAGTGGTCAGCTTGTCCAGTATACACCTATCCAATCCAAGGATTACCAAGGAACTGCTAGCTGTCAGTGGTGTGACTGTGGTGAATGGTCAGCTTGTCCAGTATACACCTATCCAATCCAAGGATTACCAAGGAACTGCTAGCTGTCACTGGTGTGACTGTGGTGAATGGTCTGCTTGTCCACTATACACCTATCCAATCCAAGGATTACCAAGGAACTGCTAGCTGTCACTGGTGTGACTGTGGTGAATGGTCTGCTTGTCCACTATACACCTATCCAATCCAAGGATTACCAAGGAACTGCTAGCTGTCAGTGGTGTGCCTGCGGTGAATGGTCTGCTTGTCCACTATACACCTATCCAATCCAAGGAAAGGATTACCAAGGAACTGCTAGCTCTCAGTGGTGTGCCTGTGGTGAATGGTCTGCTTGTCCACTATACACCTATCCAATCCAAGGATTACCAAGGATCTGCTAGCTGTCAGTGATGTGCCTGTGGTGAATGGTCTGCTTGTCCACTATACACACCCCACACCACCCCACCCCCAGAAATGTTTCCATATGATTTTTATATATTGATATAACACCCTTTTGATTTTGAGTGTCATATACCCTCACCGCTGCCCTAAAATATACACCTCAATTAATGACACAAAGATTGCGTGCAGCCAATCTGACAGATGATCGGTACCAGAATGTTACACCTAAATACATATGATTACAACAACCATTAATGAATAAAACAAGAATCCAGGGCAATGACATAGACTACACGGAACCGTATAAGCTAAAGGCAAATTGTGCTATACCTAATGATAATGAACGAACAAAAGATTTAATTGGAAAAAGGATTGCATCCAATCCACATGACTCAAAAAGACAGAATAGGCAAAATAAAGAATAACTTACAAAACCATGAATACACAAACAAACATTCATTGGTGAAAAAATAAATAAATAGTATTATATAAACTATCAACTTTGTTTTATTTTTGGAACTATGAACCGATGCTATATCATGAATCATTTCCTCATCCCCATGATGATGTGGTAGCTTGATCTGAAAAGTCTTAGAACTTTGTCACCACTACAGCGAGCTAAATGCGGCGCCACCTAACGACAGGACATCAATGGTACTTCTAGGAAGACAGATTGGAGGAAGTTAAGCTAAAAGTGTCTAATGGAATCAAAATCCTTTTTCACATTCCCCTGGAACTGTAAATGTGTTAATTTCATGGTTGATCATAAACAGAGCGATCATTCTGACTGACTTATCTTGTTAAGTTGCAATGAGTAAACCGAGCTCGCGAGTAATATTGAACAAACCTGAAGATATCATGTACATTGTGTAAATTTCACGCGCAATGTCTAGGCTGTCAACTGAATTTAATAATACAACTATATTAATACTTAACCTAAACAAAACAGTTGTTTTGGATGTATACAGATATGTCTAAACTCATTTATATAGTTTAGTTCGGAACATTATGAACAGATGCTACAATTTTGAACAAAGAAACCTTTTTTAAAAACATGTAGCAGGAAAAAAAATATATTTGATACAAAATTGGAGATTATATGAATAGAGTCATGTTGCCTTCAGAAGCAGGAAATTGCATCGGAGAGCATCTGATTTTACAATATTAATTCCAGGGGTAGCATGCTCCCAGACCCCACTAGATCCCCGGCCGAACGTAGATAGTGCCCCCCTACCCACCTCCAACCCTTTCTTACTATGTGAACTATCATAGGCATGACGTCATTATGGACTGCTATGACGTCATGAAGTTAATGGTTGACATCTGACCCCTGATTGGTGAGCAACGTTTGGTAAACAACAGTATTCTGTGCTTTGTATTAACACCACGGATACCGCATTTTCATCTTATTCATCAAACGTAGGACCGAATCTGTCAGCAAACTGTTTTCTTTGTTGTTGCTTAACCCCCTGGATGTCGAGTAAAGTTTGATTTTTTCTTTGTTCACATTTTAAACAAGTGCATTCTTTCGAGCACAGCTGTCGTTTTCACACCCAATATCTTTCGTTTCATTTCATCGAGACAATTGGTATTGGTGACAATCATTTGTATTTTGATTCTAAAATGTATGAGGAATTCAGAGATGTATTTCCCACAGTTGAATATGAAATATACTTGTTGCAATAGATGTCTTATGACCGGCCTTCGCGAAACGTGATTTTGTTAACACCAGATCATGCAATATGGCGGAAAGCGCACTTCGGAGTTCGTGTTGGTGTAGTTTCGAAAACATTTAACATCCTAACCGATCCTAGGTTCATCGGCAACCTTTAGGATTGCGATAAAGTCAATGTATTCTTGGCATCATGTATTACGGATTCAGCTTATACTACTATGAATGATAACTGACCAC